TATAATAAATATTATGGAGAACATTGGCTACATTTAATGCTCTCAACAAAGAGGATGATGGATAATAAGATAGTTGTCATACAAAAACACCAAGTAACCAAAAAGAGCATCCTTAATTATTTTCTTTTTATTTTTTTTTACTATGGCTTTTTGACTTGTGTGCCTTCTATTAAAATCTATCAAGTGGCCTCAACTCAATTATAAAATTTATGATCTTTAGTAGCAATTCTAAGTTGTCAAGTTTTATTATTTTTTTCTTCTCAAAGTGAAAAAATTCTTCCTCGTGATGAAAAATTTTTAATATCAAAATAATGTGCATTTTCATCATGAAAAAAATAAATGGTAGTTCTATTGTAGAAATCAAGAAGGCTTGGATGCCTGTAAAAATGTATGGCATTATTTTGAAACTTTATGAATCTTATTTAATCCATTGTTCAAAATTAGAGAACACATTGTAATTTGTGATACTTCTTTGCAAAATAACTCAAAACCTAGACTAACAAATGAAAAAGAGTGTGCAATAAGAATTAGGTTCGAATTTCTTTTTTTTTATTACTAGGTTTAAAGGATGTATAATGGCCTATCTTCATTTTCTAAGATCGTAGTCATAAAATCATATTTTATAATTACATTATTTTATCTAACAAATAAACCATTAAATTATATATTTAGTAATAATAAATATATATTCTATGATGATAATTTTATTGTCACTACATATTAAAATAGCACTAAAATTTACCTTAGTAACACTAAAAATATGTTAATAAATTATTTTAAATCAATTGATTTTTAAAAAAACATATAAACTATTCATGTTATAATGTATTGCAAAATATGTAAAATTAATAACTGTCACTTTTAACAATAAATACAAGTTCTGGTGGTTGTAGACCATGAAATAAGACCAAAATGATATATCTACATTCTTGGAATAAATAGATTTCACTAGAATACATTTATATTTTGTCAGACTAATGTGTTGATATTTCTGTCTCAAAAAAGGATACAATTACTCCCAAACCTATTCATACAACAAAAAAGAAATAATAATAATAATAATAATAAAAATGACAGTAATTATAAACAAGAGATGAATAGGAAAATATTTGACCGGAATTGTTTTGTGTGCTATGGACTCATGATCCACGTATTTTCTTTCAAAATGCAAAAACATAAGATTATTTTCCAATTACCATGACTATGCTATGTTTTGTGTCGTTTTTTTTTATCAGCTTTCAGCACTTACATTTAAATTTTGTTGATCACGTTGTGATAAATTGACAGATTTAAAATATACGAGTAAAATTAAAAAAAAAGTTAGAAAGACCAAGTTACGTTCTCACATTGTTTTAGCCAAATTTGGTTTCTCCTAGTTTACAAAGGAATCTCCCACAAAATAATTGCAAATAACATGAGTATAATTTTTACAATGACATAAGACAACACTCATCCCAGATGTGGACAACATGAAAACTGAAATAATAATGCCACGAATCATAAAAATAAAAATATATATTTTTTGTTTGAAGTTTCAAAATTAGAAATACATTAAAAGAAACGTGTCCCTTGAAAGTTTTAACCCTGGGAAAAGTCCAAACCACCCGAATCAATGGTGGATTTGTCCTTTCGGACGGTCTACCTCACTAGTTCATCCATCCACCTCTACATACATCCAAAATACACCCGCATTCATCCATGCGATAAGGCCCTCGAATTGAGTGGATCCAAGGTGTCCAAAAAGCCACCCTGTCCTTTCCACATTCATCTATGGATAGATTTATAACTGTTCACAAAAATCCATCCTTCACAATTGTGTTAGGATGGGGATGATCGCGGGTTTGGACTCAAACCCGGGAACTGACAACGGGTGACCCCCCGGAAAAAGCTATCGGGTGAATCGATATGTTCACCGACACGTGGCGGTCGCCGATGGGGGGGGCTACCCTATTGTAGGAGCAGATTAGGTGGCAGAATTATGATGAGACGGTGACATGTAACCCCTAGTAACAGAACCGTGAGGGGGGGAATACATGGCACGCTCACGCTTCTCATTCATTCATCCAGTGGAACTCGGTTGGTCAATTGCTTTGTGCAACATCTATCTGACTTTGATGAATGAATGAATGAATGAATTAATTAATTAATGGCAGAATTGTCTCACCCACCAGCCCAGGCTTAGGAGCCCTGATGGTCTCTATCTCGCTATCTTGCCATCTATAACCGTGCCATGGCTGACCCCTTGTGGACAATGACAATTTATGCGACCCATGACCGTGTATCTTTGCCTTTGGAAGGGAGTGGCCATGTGATACAACCACCATGAATGAATAACTCACTTTTTTTTTTTACTTTTTTTTTTTTTGTAGATCTGCCCAACCCATCATGGCATCATTTCCTGATTAACCAAGCAATTGAAATGTGGACACTGACCTTGCACCAGCAGGGCTTTTTGAATTGGCTTGTGCAATATACAGCCTGCAAAAAACACACTCACACTCACACCAAAAGTTTAGGTCTACACTGGGGCTGCCCTAATCTTTCCATTGCTTGATTTGGTACATGGATGGGCTCATTTTTGTGCCAGTTTTTAAGCATGTTTTGGTGTGGAGTAGGATGAGGAAAAGATCATGTTAAGTTTGGAGGATGTGTATATGACTAGTGGTTTAATGTATGGTCTGCACTTGACAAGAATTCATTCCCAGAGCTAACAAGGGCATGTGGTCTCGAGAGTGAATGATTTGATTTGATTTGATTTGATTTATTTATTTGGTTTCTGTTGTTGCATTTGTAACCTGGCTAAGGTTTTCTTATTATTTAGTTATTTAATTCAGTAGGGTAATATTTTGAGTGTGCAAGGTTTTTTAAAAGTAATCAATTACTTGAAGATTGTATAATCTCTCTCTTTTTTTTTCTTTTTTTTTTTTTTTTAGATTTCTCTGATGCAGAGTCATAAATACTGTATTGAATCCCCCTCCCACCTCTGGTGCACAATTCTTTGATTTTTAAACCAAACTGAGAAAGGAAAAGAACAAAATTAATCATATGATTAGTTGCTCAGTTACACAAAGAGTTGTGAATATCCTTCAAGGTAGGTATTCTACCACATTGTAACACAAAATAAAAATGTTCAACAAGAGGGTGGATTGTTAAACAAATCATGCTCCGATTCATGGTCTATTCAATGCATAATCCATGAAAAGGCACCCAGAATCCAAGTGCATAATGCATTTGCAGCATACAAATATAATATATCCTTTTTATAACCACCACTTAACAAGCCAAAGAAAGTATCTGGATTTTTGAATGCACAATACCATTTGGTAGAATTTTTAAGGAGGAACCTAGACTGGCCCATTGTATTGGACTTGACACTGTTTAATGCTCTGCAATTGTGACACTACAGAAGGTGATGGTAGGCCTCTTTGCTATTTTATATTGCTCCATTTTAATGATCAACATTCTTCTATTTTCAACACTCTGAAGACAAATCTTGCAGTCTTCTTCTATTTAACTACAACTAAAAACAAATAGAGAAAAGAGAATCAAAAAAGAAAAAGAAAAAGAAGATAGTTAATTATTTCTTGTTTCAAAGAATTTGCACATATTTTTTTACATTTTTTTTTATTGATATCAATGTACACAAAATCTGCAAGTGGTAATCTGAAGGAAAACACAGACACACACACACACTTATGTATGTATGTATGTATGTATGTATGTTCACGCCCAGGAAATGAGATAAATTGGGTCAAATTGGACTTTATGGAAAGCTGAAGGGTGTTAAAAAAAATGTTGTATTACTTAAGTTCTGAGGACACCACACTAAAATTTCATGAGAATATTTATTCTTCAATGTGTTTGAAGTCATACCTCTTTTAGGGCTCTAACAACACAGTGCTTAAATAACATATTCTTCTTACTTTCTTACCATGAGTGTCAAGACAATCATAAAACTAGTTACCCATCAATAACTTCTATTAAAAAAAATGAAATAGTAACACAAATATTTGAAATACTACCACCAACAACAATAAATATAGAAAACTGGTAGTTAGTATGATACTGAAATGCTAAAATGTGCATACAGCCCATTCAAGTTTGCAACTTTAGAAGAATATAAACAAGCAACCATCTGTTACAATTTATTTAGATTATTTTCCTCCATCCTCGCCCCCCTTAGATGCAGTGAATTCAAACCAATTACATAGGCAAATCAACAAGCAGCTTCTTGATTATGGAAAACCCTAGAACTCTGGCTGCTTCTACCTAAATTTCTTGCTGACCCATGACTGCCACCTCCACCACCACCACCAATAACAACAATAACAATAACCAAGAGTCCACAGTTTTTCATTATTCAACAAATACTTTGGTTAAAATCATTGGATGAGGGGGCAACAGTGAGAATGGTCTTCATTGGACAGCTTCAAAATTAGTTCAACTGTGAAATCAGTATACAGTGTTTTTTAAGGTTACTGTGGAAAGTCATTCATGAGACAGTTGGCTTTCTGTATTATCTGAATATGTCAAACTCAAATCTTGGGTGCATTCCAGACGTGGTGAACCATATTCATCAACTGCAAGGTAAGAATTTTTTTCCAAAAATAAAAAAGCACCACCAAAGGATTATGAGTTGGTAAGTGGTCACTTAATGTTGAGATTTGGTTGAATAAGGAATGAATAGAGAGGAGGATCATGTGGGGAGCATGGGGAAAGAGATAATAGGATCACAAGTTTGAAATTGGCTGGGGCAGGAGGGTTTGTGTAATTGAAGCTAGAAAGGTACAAATCACTCACTGGCTTCACCATAAATGAGATCAACAGAGGCGTCCAGAGCAGCAGCCTGGTTGGAAGGGGTTTCAGAAAGACTCGCCTCTCATTGGCTGAGACCCGGCGTCATTTGGCAGACGTGGCAGTAGGGTCGCAGCCACTCGGGGGCCATTGCGGCAGGCTTAGCAGTTGGGGGGGGGGGGGGGGGGTTTTCTTGCTCCCCCTAAAGCGTGTACCTCGATTCTCATCTTCTCCACTCCAGCCCCGGCCCCCCTCCGTCGAACAATGTCAGTCGTATTCTTTGGTGCGAAGAAGAGCTCCTCATCCCCATAGCGTGCGGAGTGAACCATTCCTCGTCTTCCCGTGAGGCGCTTCAGGCCTCCTCGGTTAGATACTTTTTGGAAGAAGACCAAAGCGGATGAGAATCAAAGAAACGCCGCTGTCTCCCCCGCTTCGGTTGTTGTTTTTTCTTTTGAAGCGTTTCGTGGAAGATTTTGCGAGGGCCGAAGAAGTGCGTGCAAGTGGTGTCGGAGAGCTATTGCGGAGTGTGGTGACGTATTTCGACGCGATTGAGTCAGTTCTTGGCTTGATTTGGTGGCGATTCGAGGATTTGCGAAGGTGTGCGTCGTGGTGTGTGACCGTGTGCTCGAGGTTTGACGATTTGAAGCCTGTGAGAAGCTTTTTTTAACGTGCGTATGTGAAGAGGTTGGCCAGCAGCGTCAACCTTGCATCGTTCTCCCAGCTTCGTGCTCGGAGAATATAGAGGTGGATACATCAATCGAGCTGGATAACAGTTGGCTTCGGTTCAATTGCCTCCTTTGCATCTATCTTTTGCCAGCACATACACAGAAGCAGGTATTTGAAAACGGTTGAAGCTCTTTCACTAGAGTAGATGGGATTTCCTTCAAAGCAACGGGACTGTTTGGTTCTGTCGCTGTCCCCACTGGACGGCAAGAAGAGTCCATGGATGTGCTCTGCGCCAGAGCGGCAGAATCCTACACGGTTTTACCCTCGCCCCTACGCCAAGCGTCCGCTCCTGTCCCGGCGACACAAAACCCGGCGTAAGAACAAGAGAACGATCATGAACCGGGTCCCCTGTGCTCCTTACAACACAAGTTCTTACCTGATGAGAGCAGGAAAGCTTGGCATCAACGCGCCATTGTTGTCGCCTGCAACTCCTGCGTTGGAGACGCCTGTTATCTCTCCCTCTCCATGGCCTTCTGAAAGTCTCGGTGACTGCCAAGTAGCGAACGAATTGGGAGTCAACGCTTATGGTTCCATGAATGGACGTATTCGTCTTCGATCGGATGATATGGACCGAGACTCAGGCTCATGTTCCTGCGGAGAGTCGGACACTGAGCATTGCGGTCGTCGTCCAGCGGATTCTGTGCAACAAGTAGAGGAGCGAATTGATCATGGATTGCAACGCTTTGAGATGTTATACAATGCAGACTCACCACTAAGGCAGCATGGTGTGGTGGCTGATCAAGAGATACACATTCAGCACTTGGAGGAGGAGAATTTGTCTCTGCAGCAGCGTCTTTGGGCTATGTCACAGGAGCTTTCTCATTTACGGAGGCGCCTGGGCCATGATTGTGAATCTGGAGTCATATCCGACGAGAGCCTAGGCAATGGCTCATGTGCTACTTAATTCCACTCAAAATGGACCCGAGCATAATTTCGACACAGGACTGGTGGTGTGTCTTGAAGTATTATGTTGAGAGGACGAATCCTTGTACAGTTGTATGTCCAAGTTGCATGGGGCTTGATGTGTCATGTATGTGAAAAGATGAGAAAGAATGTGAAAGGATCAGTAGTGTAGTTGAAAGGATTTGCTGTGTTCTAAGGGTGGCTGATGGGAAAGAGGGAAATCATCGTTGCAGCCAGGATTAATTTTAAGTGGAGATGCTTAAGTGCTGCAGCACAAGCCATGGAGATCCCTTCGGGGGTAGAATCCACGTGCTCGCATCTGCTCTCCATGCCTCGGTCAGTGACCGTTTTTGGTGTATACAATCATGCAATATAGAAAATTTCTGAATCTCCAAAAGAGATCTAAAAATGATTCAACCTCGTAGCGGTTGACTTTTGTTAGACACACTGATGAGAGAGGCTGTGTGATTGTTACACAGGCCTGCGGCTGTCAAATGCTCTTCCCGGGCAAAAGTCAGCCAGAGACTGCTTGGGCTCAAATGGCCCGTTGGTAAGCATGCTCCCTCAGTAAGGGTAAGCGAGCTTATCACAATGGCACCTTCAAATTAGAAGATTGTGTGCGTTCTGTCTCACATTTCTGTAATTTTGATTCATTAGTCACTCTTTTGAAACATTTTTTTCTCTTTTGTATGCAGCGATTTCAGTATGTAGTGCACGAAGGTTCCGCCAGCACTGCTCCTAAAAGCTGTGTTGACATTTAGTTTTGCTATACGAATCTTGTGGCTTTGGCTTTGTTCAAGTCTACTTCATGTGAATCGTGTGGTGTATGATCATATACATATATTTTTTTGTTTTTCTTCGTCTTCGTCTTCGTCTTCTTCTCTCTGCCTGAGAATGTTCTTTTAGTTACTTCCCAGTTGTATAAGTAGAAAGGAAACACCATCGCCAAGTACAATTTTGGGCTGTAAATTATCTTGGTTTTTATGTGCTTGCTCTCTGCGTCGGACTGTTTACTCATTTTACATCCTGGATCTTTTGACCTGTTTGTTGTATATTAACCATATTCTTGTATAGTAGATATAACTGCGGATGCATTTACTGGAGATTATTATATTGCTTTACATGTCAATGATTGTTTCCGAACAGCAATGTCAATAATGAAGTGCTTGTGTGATCGTATTGCTGCGGGTTCGGCTTTGATGTGTAGTTGAGGTGTGTGCGGATGAGGACCACCGTGGAAGGATCGTTCTGTTGCAGCATCTTGTATCCAGATACTTGCGATCAGCATTGCATCATGTCTTCTCGAGCAATTAGAAATTTGTAGGGCAGGCACAGATCTTCCGAAGCGAGGTAGGTAAGGTTGGTTGCAAAGCATCTACAACAATACTTGAAAAGGAAATACTTGTACGTCTTGAGTTTCTGTAAATCATTTCCGCAAGCGGGGGAGAAACGGTAAACTAATGAAGGCTCCTAGAATGGATATCTGACACACCGAAAAAATTACCCCGCGCTTCACCTCAGAATGAATTCTGTAGTCTAGAACTGATGTTTTCTGAGAACCATTAGCCTTGATTCACTCTTGAAGATAGATGTGAAGCCTTCCTCCAAAAGCAACGTTCTTCGCATCTCAATGCTTCACTAACTATCATGGGTGGTCATAATTCACGTAGGGATAGAAACATTTGGAAGGCGGTTCACCAGTAGGAACGTGGTAAATGCTCACAGTCAAGGTTACAGCTCTGCTTTCGTCGGCTTTGACCGGAGATCAATAACTTTCGTACAGAGTCTCCACCAGGCTGTAAGTATACCCCACCCACTCAAATCTCTGCTTCATTTCTGACCTAAAAATTCTGGACTCGTTCCCTAGTCTCCTTCGGAACCCACAGCAGAAGTGAGATGCAGTTTCCTTCAGCAAATTTGGAATCAGGGTTATCAATCAGGTAATTATAGAAGTATTCTTCTTTCGGGGGCGACCAACTGATTCTTCATAGATGTCGATCTCAGCGAGAGCATCTTCGCCAACAAACTGGCGATTGGATGAGGCGGTTTAGCGTAGGTGACCGCAACGTTTTCTAAATTCAGAGAAAACTGTTGAGTCACTACTGATTTTTTTTGCTTTCCCACGCATTGGTTGCTGTGCTTTTGGCGTGGGGCCCATGTCCATTGTAACCATGCACGTTGCCATCATTTCGACACTTTCTATAAAAGCGAGGTGTCATCCAATCTGCCCTTCCAACCCTGACTCGGTGGTGAGAACTAGGTTCTTGGCAAGGTAGCTTTTCTGTACTACGAATGGTAGACCTTCCTTTCTGCTTACACCTAGTGGACCATATAAGATACCCTCCACTCCAACTTACTTCATCCTTAGTGCTGCATTCCACCAGGTTAACTCTGTTCCAAATTCACAGATGCTTGTAAGCTACCATTCCCATCATCATTTCTAAATTTTAGCGTTCTCGTTGCGAATTTATTCTTATTTTTAGCAGGTCTGTTCATCCATTCAGGTGCTAGAGCCATCTAGGGCCTTCTGTAATATTACAAAAATTAATATAAAGAGTTTGTTGACTGTTAGAATATTCTATAATATTGATTTTGTATATCTTCCATCTTCATCCCCCATTTCCAATTCCATGTTTCTATTTCCCTCCCTCGTTTTATGTCCCTCATTTTCAAATCCCTTCTTTGTTCCATATATCTCATTCCATGCATCTTGTTTTGTCTTTCCATTTTGGTCTTGATTTCGATTCTTTATTCTATATTCCTTCCATCACCACCCTATTCTTGATCCTAGTTTAGAATGAGCCTTCTTTCACACTTCTTCACTCTGCTTTATAATCCTTTGCTAATCCAAAATAGCCAAGGTTTAATAATAATAATAATAATAATAACTTATTATTATATTAATAAGGAAAAAAAGAAAAAGAAAGAAAAATCCTTGTGATATTTCCACCTCTACCACATTTCTATAAAAGAAGATCTATAGAAAGCCTATTTTTAAGAAGGAGGAGATGTGACCTCCATATAGGCCTATATTACTTAGACTTAAGCACCAATTTAAAGATTGTCTTAGGATAGAAAAAAAGAATAAAAAGGAAGAAAGAAGGGAGGGGATTTAAAACAAGAAATAGAGAATAAGGAAGGAGAACATGGACATGAAACAAGAGAAGAGAATAAGAATATGGAATAAATAAAAAGAACAAAAGTAAAGAACTAAAAATTAGGAATAAAGACAAAAGATGAATGAAATCAATTATAAGATAGAAAAGAAATTGTCACAGATATATACATTTATTCCAATAGTTATTTATATGATTAGATAGAAATAATTAAATGTAATTTTATTTTATAATATCTTCTAGAAAAGCTTTTCAGAAGCTGTTTTGATTTTATACATGGTTGTAATTAATTAATAGGCTAGAAACTTGGTCAACAAATTAGCCATGTATCACATGTATTAGTAGCTTGTGGAACAAGCTTACTATGTGGTGCACATATAGATAACTTACCTTGCAAGTTAAGTCATGTGTTTAGCAAAGTCAATACATATTAAAGGTCCTATAGAATATTGCTACATAGTTTCTAATTAGAGAATATATAGAGAGATAAGAATGAAGCGTTCTTCACTCTTGTCAATGCCTTTTTAGTCTTTAGTCTTGTTTCAAAACTTTCTAATCTTCTTGTCTTTATTAGTAGTCATTCAAATTTAATACTTTATCACCTTGGAGTAATTTTTTAATCCTTTGAATGATACAAGAATGTATTGGAGATTTTTTTTTATATAATATTCATGTCCTTGATAATTTGATAAGAGTGTTAATTTATTGTTCCTGATTTTTTTAAAAAGTGTATAGATTATCCTACTTCTATTATTGTATTTTGAAGGTTGCAAACAACCGACCTTTAAAATAATATTTTAATTTTTTAATATTGATTTTTTTCTTAAAAAAAGTGGATTATCCTTCTTTATGAAAATTTTCATTTGATGTTAGAGATTATAGATTATCATCCTCTAATTTAACTTTTTGAATTTTTTTGATTTTTTTATGGAGAAAAATATTAGATGCTACTCTTAAGAGAAGTAAAAATAAGTTTATAACTATTGCAGACCTTCACTAGCTTATCAACACTTTGAGAATAGCAATCTTATATATTTTCAATATGAATCATTGATGAACTATTTCTATGTCCATAGAAGAAGTCAATAATGAAGTTCAAAGTTTACACTTAAAAGTTGTGCAATTAAGAGAAGTAAGAATAGCAAGTTCACTATTGAATTCAAAGAATCTTACAACTACAAGTATAAATGAGGCAAAGATAAGTATGCCAAATAAGTTTGATAGAAGAAGATCAAAATTTTGATGGTTTCTATAAAAAGTAAAATTCTATCTAAGGTTGCATCTTTCTCAATACTCTAATAGATTTATTTAAGTTGGATTTATTGAAGTACTTTTCTTTGAAAGTATTCTTTCTTAGTTAGCACTTTTGATGGAAAAAGATTTATAACTAGTCTATGATTTGAATTCATTCTTAAAAGTGTTTTTATTTTTTGAAATTTTTTTATGATTACATTTAGAAAAAGTTATTAAAAAAAGGTAGTAGAGACCAAGCTCGTATCACTATGACAAGAATTACATTCAACCACCAAATATGCTACTAAATTCTAAAATCTTTCTTGTAATATAGATTGGAATTACAAAGCATTTATTAATCAATTTTGATATAGATTGAAAGATAATGTCAAAAGATTTATTGTTGACAATACAAAGAATAGATTCATTGGAGTAATTTATTTCTCAAGCTATTGCATGTAATAATTGATTCTTTGAAAAATTCCAAGAATAAAGATTTGATTAGAGAAGTATAAATCAAGTTGTAGTGACATTTTTTAGTTTTCAAAAGCTTACTCGTCTAAGCCAAAAAAAATCGAGATATATAATGTTTTATAAGATCAAAGTATCGAAGGTTTCTACAAAACAATCATAGATGTATAATATTTTTTGAGATTTTCCAATTATTAAAGGATCTTCATCAAAAACTTTTTTCAAGTTGCGATTCTACTTACATACTTGACATGTAAAGATAAACTTGAGTTAAGCAAAGAAGCTAAAGCATCTTTTGAATCCTTGTAGAAAATATTTATTTTTACATTAATTTGATATCATGTCAATTTTTTTAGGCATTCTTTATCGAAATATATGCATCAAACTTTGTTATATGTGTCATATTGTCACAAATTGAAGCAAATGACAATCTCCACCTAATAGCTTTTCATTCTAAGAAATTTTCAGTTGTCAAGATCAATTATAAGATCTACAATAAAGAGCTTTTTACAATTGTGGATTCATTTCAAGAATGGTATCATTATCTAGAAGACACTTCTAGTCTAATCACCATATATATGGATCACAAGAACAACAAGTACTTCATGTTGGCATGTGTTTTGAATCCTTGCAAAGCTTGTTGGAGTATGTCTTTATTAAAATTTGATTTTAAGATTACTTAATAATCCAAAGAAGAACAAGATTTGTTAGATGTCTTTTCTAGATGTTCTTATCTTATACCAAAAGAAGGAGATTTATCTTTTGATCAACAAAGAACAATTCTCTTCAAGCCAAAGTATTTTTACCTTCAAGTAATAAAATCAATATTGAATATTGATTCAATATTTGTCAAGAAAATTCAATCAAGTATGTCCTCTGATCATCTTCTTCATGATATCAAGAATAATTCTTGTAAGTCTCATGATACTTTCAAGTTCAAATTCAAAAATAATCTATTATATTTTAAGGGACACTTATATATTCTACAGAGCAAAGTATGATTAGGTGATTTTTAAGCTTGTCATGACTTTCCAACAGCTAGATATTTTAGATATAGTAAGACTTTTGAGTTAATATTAAGAGATTTTTGGTGGCTTTAAATGTGGAAGGCAATTAAAGACTTTGTAAAAATCATGTCATATTTGTTTAAGATCAAAAAATCCTCATCATTGACTTTATGGACTTCTTTAGCCATTACCTAT